AATGATCTAATCTAGTAATGCTGGTAGAAAACAATAATAATGTTATGTGACATCTAATCTAACAATGCTAACATTATGGAAGCTTAGGTCAAGCAATAATTGCCCATATAAGACTCTGTAGGTCAAGGCTATTGAACTGGTAGCCTTTAAGCCAACTGTGGCTGGCAGAGATCTAGCAAGTGGCCCGTGGATCACTGCTAGTGGTATTGTAATAATGTTGTATCTAGGCTAGGACTCAAGTCTCTGGCATGTGACAATCCTCATTTCAAACTATTTAGGCCCCGGAGTAAACTTAGTTGAACAGTCCTTCTGTAGGTAGTAGCTCTGTTAGAAATCATATTAGAGAGGGCAGGCAGACTTAGCCAACCATTTCCAGGGAGATGATGGAAAATGCCAGGTAACCACTGGATGTAAACTAGTTGACTAGGCTGGGGAAATGCTGATGTCAATTATAAGAAAATACATTATCAACTTAAATTAAAAGCGAAAATCAACATTTGTACACGATTCTGTATGTGGGAACAAAATTAAAAAAAAATAAAAATAAACAGTTAATAATTTACAGTCCAATGCCTAACAAAAAAAAGCATGTTGTAAGAGTCAACTAATTGGGGGGGCTTCCTTCAAAGTCAGAATGCATCTGTTCGAACAGCAAGGAACAACCGACTGCACACAAATAAGCCAGTAAAATGGATGTACACGCAAAACTCAGGCCCTGGCACACAGTCCAAATGGACAAACAACCAGAAACTTCCGCTGGAGCTTACAGCCGGTGAACAAAGAAGAAAAAAAAAAAAGAACTTATAGTCCACCGAAAAAATGTACACAAATTCAGCATTAGAATATTCAGTCTAATCTGAGATAAATCTATACATGACATCTCTTAACCCTTTCATCCCAGAAGATTTCTCAAAAGACGCACAAAAATGTTTCCAACATTAAGAAAAAAAAAAACCACTCATGGATAAGTGTAAGAAACACCACCAAATAATGAATGAAACTAGGCACTGGAAAGACAGATTGATTTAGCATGTTCTGACAAACGTTAAAAAAAAACATTCACAAAACCAACAGTAAGATATCACTTTATGCGACAGTTGCAATTTAAAGTAAAAAGCCAATAACACTCCATGCAGTGGCTTCTTCTTGGGTTCGCTTTCCAATGTACATCGCCAGATAAGTTCTTGTGACAGCAGTTCTCTTTAAGCTTTACACAGCTTTGTATATGGTGTTGACTCAAAGGGTTAAAATGCACTGACTGAGACTAAAAGGGTTAAAAGTATGTATACATTTTATCAATGGACTCGGTAAACTACACATAAATCTCTGCCATTTTACAACCAATGTTCGCTTCATTTGTTATCCAAACTTTTTAAAACTTTTACTGAAAGAGTCGCTGCACTCAGATCAAGCCTTTACATGCTGGTCTCTCCATGGAGAAGTGGAAGGGTGTGAATTTTAAGTGTCCTTATTGTTATTATAATAACTGACCTTGCTGGCGGTCACAAGAAACTTGATTCTCCACTCTGACATATTCAAGAAACGTGATTCTCCACACTGACAGACATATTCAAGAAACTTGATTCTCCACACTGACAGACATATTCAAGAAACTTGATTCTCTACACTGACAGACATATTCAAGAAACTTGATTCTCCACACTGACAGACATATTCAAGAAACTTGATTCTCTACACTGACAGACATATTCAAGAAACTTGATTCTCTACACTGACAGACATATTCAAGAAACTTGATTCTCCACACTGACAGACATATTCAAGAAACTTGATTCTCTACACTGACAGACATATTCAAGAAACTTGATTCTCCACACTGACAGACATATTCAAGAAACTTGATTCTCTACACTGACAGACATATTCAAGAAACTTGATTCTCCACACTGACAGACATTCAAGAAACTTGATTCTCCACACTGACAGACATATTCAAGAAACTTGATTCTCCACACTGACAGACATATTCAAGAAACTTGATTCTCCACTCTGACATATTCAAGAAACTTGATTCTCCACACTGACGGACATATTCAAGAAACTTGATTCTCCACACTGACAGACATATTCAAGAAACTTGATTCTCCACACTGACAGACATATTCAAGAAACTTGATTCTCTACACTGACAGACATATTCAAGAAACTTGATTCTCCACACTGACAGACATATTCAAGAAACTTGATTCTCCACACTGACAGACATATTCAAGAAACTTGATTCTCCACAACAGACATATTCAAGAAACTTGATTCTCCACACTGACAGACATATTCAAGAAACTTGATTCTCCACACTGACGGACATATTCAAGAAACTTGATTCTCCACACTGACAGACATATTCAAGAAACTTGATTCTCCACACTGACGGACATATTCAAGAAACTTGATTCTCGACACTGACAGACATATTCAAGAAACTTGATTCTCCACACTGACAGACATATTCAAGAAACTTGATTCTCTACACTGACAGACATATTCAAGAAACTTGATTCTCCACACTGACAGACATATTCAAGAAACTTGATTCTCCACACTGACAGACATATTCAAGAAACTTGATTCTCCACACTGACAGACATATTCAAGAAACTTGATTCTCCACACTGACGGACATATTTAAGAAACTTGATTCTCCACACTGACATAGTCAAGAAACTTAGTTCTCCACACTGACAGACATATTCAAGAAACTTGATTCTCCACACTGACAGACATATTCAAGAAACTTGATTCTCCACTCTGACATAGTCAAGAAACTTGATTCTCCACACTGACATAGTCAAGAAACGTGATTCTCCACACTGACAGACATATTCAAGAAACTTGATCCTCCACACTGACAGACATATTCAAGAAACTTGATTCTCTACACTGACAGACATATTCAAGAAACTTGATTCTCCACACTGACAGACATATTCAAGAAACTTGATTCTCCACACTGACGGACATATTCAAGAAACTTGATTCTCCACACTGACGGACATAGTCAAGAAACTCGATTCTCCACACTGACAGACATATTCAAGAAATGTGATTCTGCACTCTTACATACATATTCATTAAACTTGATTCTCTACTCTGACAGACAGTCAAGCAACTTGATTCTCTACGCTGACTGACATATCTAAGAAACACGACTCTCCACTCCAGCCGACATATGCAAAAAAAACTTGATTATCCTCTCTAAAAACATAATTAAAAAAAAAAAACTTGATTCTCCATGCTGTCAGACATATTCAAGAAAATCCATCATTATAAATATTAATGAATGAACAAATTCTGGAAATACAATGGATCAAATGAGGACTTCTTAAAGTGAACTCACAAAAGCTAACATAGTCAAAAAATTAGTGACCAAAGAAGTCACATATGAAGGCCAAAATACAGTTGCGGACTTGATAAGGAGAACTTACAGGGAACCTAAGAAATGGTTCTTCTTATTAGAAATTATTCATCATAATGTAGGTTATTTATGTTATGATCACCAACCACAATTTCTGGCATATCGATGATAGAATTAATTTCATTATAGATTCACTGTATAATGAAAACAAACTGAAGGATACTAAAGGTTCTTCTTCTTTTTCTTCAGCATTCAGAGCTCTTAAGGTTTAATGCTGCAGATATCAACGACCTCTATTCATCTCTTTGGTTGGCCTTCTTTTTCCAGTTGGTGACACCAAGTGTTTGCTGTTCTGTCTGGACATTATCTCTCCATATTTTTCTTGGTCTGCCTCATGGTCTACGACCATTCATCCCCCTTTATTTATTTATTATTATATTGTTACTGAATACCAAATGTTAGTGAACTAAGTTCAGATGCAGAGATATTCAGCAATTATGAAATGTAAATATGATGCCCGTAGGGTATAAACATAAACCCACCAAAAAAGATTTTATATAAAAAAAGACCCCCCCCCCCCTCCCCCCCCCCCAAAAAAAAATATTATAAAATAAAATATTCTTTAAATTCAGAACATTGTGATTTTGTAGAAAGACTTATAATTTCAGATATATTTGATAGATACATAATAATATAAAATACAATTCTGGCAACAGTTTTGTGGAAACCTGGTCTACAAAATCTTGACTTCAACCTGTGACACAGTTTGGAAGAATAAACAATAACATTTTCTGATTTACATGGGACAACATTTATTTACAACATATTAATTACATGGTGTTACACATATATGCACAGCTTCTTCTTATACGTTATGCCTTCTTGAACAGGTATTCATATCTGTCCAATGCCTTTCAGTCAAACTGATTTGTTCAGCCAAACAGAAAGCCCATTTTGATTTGACACCCCCCCCCCCCCCCCCCCCCCCCCCCCCCCCCCCCCCCCCCCCCCCCCCCCCCCATTAAAAATGAAAGGTCTGAAACTAATTTCTCCAGTCAAAATGCAAGCACACTTTGGTTTGACAAACCCCTTTTAGTTAAAACAAAACCATGATTTGGTAACTATGTGAATTCTCCAGCTAAACATAGGACTATTATTTTGTCCTGACAAACCTTTTTTAGTTAAATTGAAAACACAGTTCAAAAACTGTCTGATTTTGCCAGTCAAAAAGCAAGCCCATTTCATTTTGACAACATTTTAGCTTGAAAACCTTAGATTTAAAAAAACCTGTCTCAGGCACTCAGCTCTCATGTTTTCTGCAATCATATATTCTTTCTTTCCCTTCCTGATGTGTCCCCTCCACACAACACAGCCCATGGCATTTTGTTCCCATGAGTCCCCCTCAATACCATGTATCACTCATGTCCCCTTTGTACAAATATTTATAACGTAGTAGAGGTTGGCCTCGTAGTCGACTATACGGTTAAACACTCTTACAACATGAAGTAGAAACAACCTGGTTTTCTTTCCATTTCTGTAATTATAACAAAATTAATCCGTCTGGTTAAGTTGGCTGCAGGCAAAATCTGAGTCTGTCTATGTAATAGCAACTATAAAGTACGATCTATTTCCATTCTGTGCACTCCTTGCAGTGCTTCATCACAGCTTCATTGTACAGCTCCACTTGAATCGTGGAGTGGAAGAAGTGGTGGCGGTCCTGGATCAACTTGGTGGCAGCTGAAAGAACTTGGTCGTGTGCATGAGGGTTTTCTGTGTTGCACATGGAAGATCAATTAAAACTTGTCAAGGAAAGATAAATTATCTACAAGTAAGCTAATATTAACAGATAAAATAAGTGACATAAAAAGGAAATCTGATGAGATAAAATAACATAAACACAAGATAATTTCTTCTTAATCCACCCTCACCGGCTGTATAGTCCAGCTGAAAATTCTGGCTGTTCATCTACTTCTGGACTTTGGTACTGTTCTAGAACTTGGTTCCTAGCCTTTAAGGCAGATTCACTTCTTCAAAGGAAACATCTCTAAATAGTCATCTTTTATGAGCTTGTTAGGGAGGCAGTGGGTATATTCTTCCCCTGTTCCCTCAAATGGGGCCCTAGAATCCACACAGGGACAATGATAATTTGATTACAAATTACACTACAAAGATAACTGAAAGAAATTTAAAAAAATAACAGATATTCAAAGAAATAGGAAGAGATAAAATAGCATTCACAAAAAATATGATAAAATAACATTATAAAAACAATTTGAAGAGATAAAATAAGACATAAAAAGATCATTTGGGATGTTGAAAAATGGACAGACACTGAAAATATAAAATAAAAGACACCAAAATAATCTGACACGATAAAATAACAGACAGAGAGATAATTTCAGACGATAAAAAATAACAGACACACAGAGATAACAGTAAGATAAAAAAAAAAACACCAACAAGATATTCGTCTGAAGAATATAAAAAGACTTCAAGATCAAGCACTGATCAGTTAGACTTTTAAATTCTGCTTCTTCTTCTTCGCATTCACAGGCTGTAAACTGCAGCGCAAAGTTCTGGTTGTTTCACCACTTCCAGACTTTGGTCGTGTAACAGGAAATGAGTTTTGTGTGCCCATTTGTTTTTTAGATCTAGATTATTTTTGCTCAAACTGTTGTTTGCTTTCGTTTCTGGCCTCTCAGGCAGATGCGTTGTGACTTAAAAAGGAAATACTTACTTACTTAGTCGCTTCTTTTCTACCTTGCGGTGTAGAGGTTTGAAAGAGAGATATACAGTCCAGGATATAAAATGAGTGCGAGGGAATGAAAGAGCAGATTTTCTGGCTACAAAAGCAAAAGCAAAAGTATTGGACAAGGGAGATATTCTGAAGACCATATATGAAGACTTTTGGCAGAAGACACAACATTAGATGAAATAACATTGGCATGAATGTGTAAGTGAGGAGTCAAGTGTAGATCCGGAAAGGAGGGATATATGAGAAGAAGAGATCGGCATGTGTATAATCAGTGTGCTATGGGAACAGTTAGCATCTACATCTTACATCATTTGCTGCGGTGGATGGAGCATCTATGGGTATGCCCAGTGTGCTATGATTCTTAAATCAGTAAATCAGAGAGATCGCCAGACTTCTCTATCAGCAGTTTTCTTTCTGGCTTTGTTCCAGTCAGAGACTGTCAGATGTTGTTTTCCCAGCAGACCCTGGGTCACCCTGGATGTCTGGTTTCCAGGTTCTTAGCCTCTCATTGGGGCTGATTTTCCCCCATTCTGCATACATGTCCAAATAATTGTTTGCCACAGAGATTGCCAGAATTCTCTATCAGCAGTTTTTTTTTCTGGCTTTGTTCCAGTCAGGGACTGTTAGACATTTTCCCAGCAGACCCTGGGTCACCCTGGAGGTCTGGTTCCCTGGTTCTTAGCCTCCCATGGGGGCTGATTTTCACCCATTCTGCATACATGTCCAAATAATTGTTTGCCACAGAGATCGCCAGAATTCTCTATCAGCAGTTTTCTTTCTGACTTTGTTCCAGTCAGGGACTGTTAGACATTTTCCCAGCAGACCCTGGGTCACCCTGGAGGTCTGGTTCCCTGGTTCTTAGCCTCCCATGGGGGCTGATTTTCTCCCATTCTGCATTCATGTCCAAATCATTGTAACTATGTGACTGATCCACTCAGGTTTGTAAGGCCTTGGCTTCACTTCGAAGGAAATGCCAATCCTATTTATGTTAGCCAGGCACTTAGTTGGCAACTGTTTCTAGAATAACCATACAGAGGTATAGACTAGCCGGGCAAAATTTGGAGTTAAAAATCTACTTAAAGTATTTCAGGATCCTCGCCAGTGCTACAGAGCCTGTGCACTGTGCTGAGCTTCTTGGGACTCAGACTTGAGTTAAAAGAAGAACGGAGCACTTATGGGTTACTACCCGTGTGCCATGATGTTGATCCTTTGTTCAAACTTCAAACTTTAACAGTATGAGCCCTGGTCCTGGTTCAAACGTGGTTCAGCCCAACTGAAGTAAAATTCAAGGGTTACTGTTTATCCTTGAGAGGCATTGGTAAATGGTGCCAACTGGTCCGCACAATCATTACCCTTCACTCCGGGATTTCCCCAGTGGTTAAGTGTGATTTCCAAATACTTTTCACCCATTCAGAGCATACACTACCTGTTGTGATTCTCTGAAGTACATATGCATGAATACACATAAATGAACATACGTACACACAAATATATGTACACATATCTAACACCTGACAGCTCTCATAATTTTTGAATTCAAATTATTAATATAAGCACCACTCACCCACTGCAAGATGAACCGATAAGGCATTTCGGTCTAAGGTTAAGGCCCAAATGTGCAAACTATGTACGGTGATCACCCCATCCAGTGCAGAAAGTTCTTTCTTCAGGGATTCAATAGATAAGTCTCTCGGAACACCTGCCAACAAGGGACATAATTCATTATTTCGGCCTCTGGCCCTAGTGCTACGGTGGCTCCAATTTTTACATATGCTTTATCATAAATATTCTATACTGTCATATTATTATTTACTATATATTTCCCTCGAAGTAGAAGTACATCTGCTCGTGAGGCAGGGAATGGCAAAAGCTAGTTAAAACAGTTGTACATGTAAAACTCAGTCCAGGTAAAAGCCAAAAGTCCAAATGGACGATCTACGAGGACCTTCTGCCGGAATTCACAGCCGGTGAACTAAGAAGAAAAATATTATTTACTATATATGTCATTTCAATATTTATGTTGTCTTTATTATATATGTAATTTCATTCAATCAATCAATAAATCAAAGACAGCAAGAGAAATGGTTTGCCCACTTAGAGAGAATGCCTTGTGACACCATACCATACAAAGCATACATGGAAAGAGAAGAAGGACGTAGAGCACGGGGTAGACCAAGAACAAGATGGAAGGATAACATCAGAGAAACTCTACAACAGCACGATGTGCCTATGGTCGAGGCAGCCAGAAGAGCTAGAAACAGAACCTTATATCTCCCTCGACACCCACAGCGGTAAAAGAGGAAGTGAAGAAGAAGAATCAATAAATTGCTGTCTTCACAAGGAAGGCTGACTGCAACAGATCTCCAACACTCGTCCATTTTGTGATGTTGTCCTCTCACTTCTATCAATGGCTATCTATTGTTCTCTTATTTGTGATTTCCCCTCTCATTTGTCTAAGATGTCTCAACATTGTCATTTGTCCAAGATGTCTCAACATTATCATTCCTCTAAGCTGTCTCAACATTGTCATTTGTCTAAGCTGTCTCAACATTCTCATTTGTCTAAGCTGTCTCAACATTGTCATTTGTCTAAGCCTTCTCATAATTCTCATTTGTCTAAGCTGTCTCAACATTGTCATTTGTCTAAGCCTTCTCATAATTCTCATTTGTCTAAGCTGTCTCAACATTGTCATTTGTCTAAGCCTTCTCATAATTCTCATTTGCCTAAGCTGTCTCAACACTGTCATTTGTCTAAGCCTTCTCATAATTTTCATTTGTCTAAGCTGTCTCAACATTCTCATTTCTCTAAGGAGTCTCAACATTGTCATTTGTCTAAGCTGTCTCAATATTATGTTGAAAGTATATGTTAAAAAAATGTATTAAAAAAAAAGAGAGAAGAAATGATTTCAAGCCCTTAAGGCTCACTGCTGCAGATATCATCTGTCTCCATTCATCTCTCTGGTTGGTCTTCCTCAGCATTCTGAGCCCTTGAGGTTCACTGCTGCAGATATTACCCACCTCCATCCCTCTCTCAGGCTGGTCTTCTCTTTCTAGCTTATGACTCCAAGTGTTTGCAGGTATGTCTGGATATTATCACTCCACATCTTTTTGGTCTGCCTCATGGTCAACTCCCATAGAACTTTTCTCTGTACAGTTTCTGAGTCTCTGTTATTCTTCATTCTCTCCGTATGCCCCAACCATTGCAGTCTATTAGCACTCATGATGCCAGTAATTAGTGGTCATTTAACTCTTTGGTTACCAGTGAATGCATCACATGTTGACTAAGAAATTAATCCACTGAAATGTGACGAAGAAGCTTAACAAAACGCAAAAAGGGAAACTAGGTGTACAAATGAATTAAATCTGACATTTCAGCGGCAGACTCTCTAAACACAAACTACAACAACAGAATCAAGGAAATAGAGTCCATTTATAACAAAAGATGATTTATAACTAATTTAACAGTCCTCTGGTATGAATTTCATTGTTGCTTTTCACTCCCCATTCTCCACAGTTTGCATCTTTGATGGGTCCCCATACTGGTTTAAGACTGTTCTCAAAGGTTTATGTTGAAAAAATCACACACACACACACACAAAAGAGAGAAGAAATGACTGACATAAAAAAAAATAAAAAAAAACAGAGAAGAAAGGATATACATAAAAAAAAAAAAAAAAAAAACCACAGAGGTAAGAAATGATTGACATTAAAAAAGAGGGAAGAAATCATTGACTTTTAAAAAAAAAAGAGGGAAGAAATGATCGACATAAAAAAAAGGAAAGAAATGTCTGACATTAAAAAAAAAGACGGGAGAAATGATTGACCTTAAAAAAAAAAAGGAAACGATTGATTTAAAAAAAAAGTCTACATTTTACCTTCCATAACAACAAGTAGAGCATCTCTCAGTACTGTGACTGTTGTGATCAGTACTAGAATAGAGAACAGGAATGTACATATCGGGTCTGCCAGTCGGTATTTCTCATCATTCTGAGAATAAACAGGGTGGTTTTTATTATTAGTACTGTAACATTTTGTAAACAATAACTCTGAGGGAACAAAAATCAAGTTTGTGTTAAAATAAATTTATGCTTATAGGGGGAACTAATAATGATAGTAAATGTTGTTCGTTCATCATAAGTGATGAACGAACACTTTCATCCAAAGCTGGATGAAAGTGAATTGCGCAAGGACTTGGATTCAAGTATGGAAGAGTTGCGCAATTCTTCAACCTCACTCTCTCGTCTGTGTCCATCTTGATCTAATAGCAGGACAATGTCGAGACGATTGGAAATTGACCTAGGTGCAGCAGATGACCAAGGCGTCTTAAGTGCCCTGCCTTGCTCGAATCTCTCCACAGAGCCTGCTGGTAAACGCCTTCTTGTCCGTTGAATCAATAAGAGGTTTTATCCGCACAATCCACAGAGTCTAGTCTTTGCATGCAGGACAGGCATATCCCAATCACCGAGTTGTTGATGATAATATATAATAATAATAATACATCCTTGTTAGGACAACACTTGTGTTCATGTTAACCAAGTTTTCTTCTTAAAAAGCAAGTTTTGTGTTAATTTGATTTTACTATAATTTAAACAATCCTGTTCAATCTCTCTGAATTATAATTTGGATATATATAGTTTTGTTTTCTATATTACAATATTGGGTGTTTTTGTTTATAGATTTCTTTTGGTTATTTGATATTCTACAGATTATGTAATAATTGTTACAGACTGTAGCAGTATGAGAATGAGCTTACAATCTGTTACAAAAAATACAAAAGGATAAACAAAATAATATGTGCATATACAAGTTAGTGGCATATTCTTTACAGGACATTGCAGAACCAACCCCAGCATTTTTTTGGCTGTTGTTGTTGTTTCATGGGACAGGCCATGGGAACAGGCAAGACATGAAAGGGAGGGGAAGGAACTCTCGCCCTATGGCAACATGCAGGTAGATTCTAAGTACCTACATATTTATTTAGCCCCTGGGATTGTATTCAATTTAATGCTTCACTCCGTTCATGTTTATTGATTACCCAGTTTATATATTTAAAATAAATGTCAATAAAATTTTTTTTAAACTATTAGTAATGCATGTAAATTGATGGCTTAAAATTTTTTTTTAAAGGATTCTTAACGGGTTTATGACCGATTTTTTTTTGGCATTCACACGGTAGCAGGTGGTACTAAAAGCATTAATGGTAACTTTCAGAAAAGTTTTGAAGGACAAGAACTGAGAAAACTAACCGTAAATTTGATGATCAAAGCAGCAATCAACACTCCCAGGCTCTGGATGATGTCCCCCACGACATGGATGAAAGCGGCCCTCACGTTGATGTTCTTGTGTTTATGGATTGTTTCCTCTTCTTCTACACATTCATGGAACTCATCGCTGCACTCTGCATGTACAAAATGTAAAGGCATCAGTTGACATATAATGAAGACGTACTTGACATCTCTGCATGGATTTGTATCATGCTATAGGGCGTCACAGGTCGACCCAGCCTAAAATGGGTACCAGAATGTATGTCCTGGGGAAGTAAAGATGACCAGCCTAATGCTGACCACATTACCCACCTAGTGCCGATGGTCTGAAAAAAAAAATGGGGCGCTCTTCCCATATACCCCAATGCGCCTAAAGGCCTGACAAGGAATCTTTACTTTACTTACCTGACATCTTCTTCTACTTCGTGTTGACAGGCTCTTAACTCAAGCGTAAAGTACTCTGTTTGTTTATCCAGTTCTGGACTGTAGTCCTGTTCCAGAACCTGAGTGTTGCGTGCACATTCAGGCACAGATGTGACTCATTTGTATGCAGAGTGTTGGTGCCTTGCAGCTGAGGCAGATGCACTTCGACTCTGAAGGAAGCTTCCATTTATCTGACTCCAGCAACATGCTTGTTTGGGAGGCAGTGGGTCTGTTCAGTGTCATACTTCTTCTATTTGAAGAGCCTTCCCTCATCTTGGTTGGCTGGATTTTATTTGCTTCTCTTTTTGACTTATCCATGGTTGGTTGGTTTTTGTGGCTATGGTTTTTACAGGATGAGGTAGCCTTGTCGCCTCTTACGACATGCCTGGTAGGGTGCAGTGTCACTATTCTTTGCTTCCCGTGAGGGCCCCGGTGACACACGGGCACTAATAAATTACAGACATTCATTAACTGGTGCCTGCGCAGAATAGAGGGAATAAAATGGTATGATAGAATAACTAATGTAGAACTTTGGGAGAGAACTAAACAGGCTCCAGTGGATCAGGAAGTGAGGAAAAGACGCTGGCATTGGATAGGGCACACACTGAGTAAACAGGAGAACAGCATAACTAGAATGTCTTTGCATTGGAACCCACAGGGGCATAGGAATAAAGGAAGGCCAAAAAACACATGGAGAAGAGAGCTGGAGAACGAGGTTAGAAAGATTAGGAGGACATGGGGAGAGCTCCATGCAATGGCGAAGGATAGAACGACTTGGCGTGAGTTGGTTGAGGGCCTATGCTCCATTGGGGGATAGAAAGGCAGAAGAAGGGGTCTGTTCCTGTTTTCCCCCACACTGGGGCCCCGAAACCCACAAGAGGAATATTTGATATATGGAGTTAAGTCTGTATTTGGGGACATGGAGTTAAGTCTGTTTTGGGACATGAAGTTCAGTCTGTCTTTGGGACGTGGAGTGTCTGTATTTGGGACATGGAGTTAAGTTTGTATTTGGGACTTGGAGTTAAGTTTGTATTTAGAACATGTCTTTACTTAAGATATGGATAAGTGGTATGCAGATAGGTATGTAAACAGGTAGGTAGGTAAGTAGGTAGGCAGGCAGACAGATAGATTAAATAGGCAGAACAGATAGATTATATAGACAGATAGACTTATGGATAGATGGCTAGATAAGATTAGATAGGCAGACAGACTGACAGATAGACAGGTAGATTGATGGATAGAAGATAGGTATAAGATAGGTATAAGGATGGATAGATAGATGTATAAAAGGGAAGATATACAGAGAAAATGCATGACAGGCAGACATAATAAACAAACTTTACTTTCAAAGGGTCACAAACTGGGCTGGCTGGCCCATCCTACATTCAGCCCTTCACATTCACACATGTATACCTTCGGCTGCCACTGCCAGGGAAGTACCATCCCTCATCTGGTGATTCGAACCATCTGCTTGATTCTCAAGACGGCAGTAATCGAACCCTTGCTGCACACTGCTGCCTATTTCAATCTGGGTTGGGGCCACATCCAGGAGCTCCTCTTTTCCGTGACTGTGCCCATGGTTGTGTCCGTGACCCCCTGGAGCCGCATGCGAGTGGCCGTGTCCAAACTTGTTGTGACTGTGTGCATGACCACAGCACATCTCCGAATGAAGTACCAGTCCCATTCTGTGGAAAAAAAGCCGTGATGTTAGTAAAAGCAGAGCCACTCTGTAGAACACAAGCTATGATGTTAGTAAAAGTAGACCCACTCTGTGGAACATAAGCCGTGATGTTAGTAAAAGTAGACCCATTCTGTGGAACACAAGCCCTGATGTTAGTAAAAGTAGATCCACTCTGTGGAACATAAGCCGTGATGTTAGTAAAAGTAGACCCACTCTGTGGAGCATAAGCCGTGATGTTAGTAAAAGTAGCCCATTCTGTGGAACACAAGCCGTGATGTTAGTAAAAGCAGACCCATTCTGTGGAACACAAGCCATCATGTTAGTAAAAGTAGACCCATTCTGTGGAACACAAGCCGCGATGTTAGTAAAAGTAGACCCATTCTGTGGAACACAAGCCATGATGTTAGTAAAAGTAGATCAATTCTGTGAAACAAAAGCCATGATGTTAGTAAAAGTAGACCCATTCTGTGCAACACAAGCCGTGATGTTAGTAAAAGAAGACCCATTCTGTGGAACACAAGCCGTGATGTTAGTAAAACTAGACCCATTCTGTGAACACAAGCCGTGATGTTAGTAAAAGTAGACCCATTCTGTGGAACACAACCTGTGATATAGTAAAAGTAGACCCATTCTGTGGAACACAAGACATGATGTTAGTAAAAGTAGACCCATTCTGTGGAACACAAGACATGATGTTAGTAAAAGTAGACCCATTCTGTGAAACAAAAGCCATGATGTTAGTAATAGTAGACCCATTCCTGTGAAACAAAAGCCATGCATGATGTTAGTAAACGTAGACCCATTCTGTGGAACACAAGCTATGTTGTTAGTAATAGTAGACCCATTCTGTGGAACACAAGCTATGTTGTTAGTAATAGTAGACCCATTCTGTGGAACACAGGCTGTGATGTAAGTAATAGTAGACCCATTCTGTGAAACACAAGCCATGATGTTAGTATTAGTAGACCCATTCCGTGAAACACAAGCCATAACGTTAGTAATAGTAGACCCATTCTGTGATGTAAAGAATAGTGGACCCATTCTGTGAAACACAAGCCATGATGTTAGTAATAGTAGACCCATTTTGTGGAACACAAACTGTGATGTTAGTAATAGTATACCCATACATAAAACCACAAACACAAACAAGAATACACAAATTAACTTGACTCAAGTGTTTCTGAGAATTATCACTGGCCAGTTGAATCTCAAAAACGAGTGTGACCATCAGAAATAAATACTAGCCAGAAAAAATCTGTCAATAGCAAGGGCCCTAACTCAGAAATATTATATAAAACTGTTGGATGTCAAGCCCCCCCAGACGAACTGGAACCCACTACAAGAATTATAAGGAAAGCAAGATGCAAATTATTAAAATATTTCTTGAGACCGAAAAAATGTGGTATTAGATAAGAATTAGGAGAAGGTAATAAAGACCAGCTGGGCAGCCGACAATTTCTGCTCAATCATGTAACGGAGTATAGTAGGTCATTTTTTTTCTTCTCAATTGCAGTCTGTAGATTATTGGCTTTGGTGTTTGTAGCAACTGCCATTTGCACTTACTGCATGGGCATATTTCAGGATTTTGCCAGGACCAACTGCCTGTTCACCAGTTTTTCACATGCAACAGTGAGGGACATTTCATTTGATTTTCACTGGCACAGGAACGGAACAATTATGGGGGAAAACCTGATTGCAGTAAAGTTGACACCTCGACTAAGACAACATCTGTAGAATTAACACCTCTAATTTAAGAATCAGAAAATGTCGCAACGGCTGAAAATTGTAATTTTGTGACAACTATCTACACTTGTTTCTGTGTTTGATTAGCTGTCAGGTGGGAGGCGAAACAGTTTTAATTGTTTTGGTGGGCCGCGGGTGGAATAAGGTCGAGAAAGACTGAGCCAGACAATGGATGCTAACAGGCTAGAACATTTCTTGAGGCCCCAGAGACTGATGGAGGGATAGAAGGAGGTGTGAAATACTAACTTTTTGAAAGTCTGTTTCATGTCAAGCAGATCGACTTCTTTTATCCCATATAGCTTTCTCTCTCTCTCTCTCTCTCTCTCTCTCCACAGAATGGCTAGCTGCTTTAAAAGATTCAAGTAGAGACTTCTTGCCTCAGACTTGATTCCATATAGCTCTCTCTCTCTCTCTCTCTCTCTCTCTCTCTCTCTCTCTCTCTCTTTCTATCTCTCTCTCTCTCAACAGAATGGCTAGCTGCTTTAAAAGAGTCAAGTAGAGACTTCTTGCCTCAGACTTGATTCCATATAGCTCTCTCTTTCTCTCTCTCTCTCTCTCTCTCAACAGAATGGCTAGCTGCTTTAAAAGAGTCAAGTAGTGACTTCTTGCCTCAGACTTGATTCCATATAGCTCTCTCTCTCTCTCTCTCTCTCTCTCTCTCTCAACAGAATGGCTAGCTGCTTTAAAAGAGTCAAGTAGAGACTTCTTGCCTCAGACTTGATTCCATATAGCTCTCTCTTTCTCTCTCTCTCTCTCTCTTTCTATCTCTCTCTCTCTCTCTCTCTCTCTCTCAACAGAATGGCTAGCTGCTTTAAAAGAGTCAAGTAGAGACTTCTTGCCTCAGACTTGATTCCATATAGCTCTCTCTTTCTCTCTCTCTCTCTCTCTCAACAGAATGGCTAGCTGCTTTAAAGGAGTCAAGTAGAGACTTCTTGCCTCAGTCTTGATTCCATATAGCTCTCTCTTTCTCTCTCTCTCTCTCTCAACAGAATGGCTAGCTGCCTAACAAAAGTCAAGGGATCGACTTCTTGCATCAGACTTGATTCCATATAGCTCTCTCTCTCTCCACAGAATAGCTAGCTGCCTAACAAAAGTCAAGGGATCGACTTCTTACATCAGACTTGATTCCATATAGCTCTTTCTCTCTCCACAGAATAGCTAGCTGCCTAACAAAAGTCAAGGGATTGACTTCTTACATCAGACTTGATTCCATATAGCTCTCTCTCTCTCCACAGAATGGCTAGCTGCCTAACAAAAGTCAAGGGATTGACTTCTTGCCTCAGACTTGATTCCATATAGCTCTCTCTCTCTCCACAGAATGGCTAGCTGCCTAACAAAAGTCAAGGGATTGACTTCTTGCCTCAGACTTGATTCCATTTAGCTCTCTCTCTCCACAGAATAGCTAGCTGCCTAACAAAAGTCAAGGGATTGACTTCTTGCCTCAGACTCGATTCCATATAGCTCTCTCTCCACAGAATAGCTAGCTGCCTAACAAAAGTCAAGGGATTGACTTCTTGCCTCAGACTTGATTCCATATAGCTCTCTCTCCACAGAATAGCTAGCTGCCTAACAAAAGTCAAGGGATCGACTTCTTTCCTCAGACATGATTCCATATAGCTCTCTCTCTCTCCACAGAATGGCTAGCTGCCTAACAAAAGTCAAGGAATCGACTTCTTGCATCAGGTTTAATCCCATTTTCTACCCTTGTGCCATAATGTTGATCTGTTGTCTAAACCTAAATCATATGTTGAGCTGCATGTGATAGCAAGGGTAGAATCGGTTGAGGGCCTATGCTCTATTGGGAGACAAAGGGCAGAAAGAAAAATAAGAGAAAGAACATCTACAATACCATGAACACAGACAATAATGTCTACAACACCAATGAACTCACACTATGTTGAACAGGACACCCAAAGAGGCAGTGATCAACATTTCATCCGGCTTCACATCCATGTAGTGCTCATGCAGGATCCGGTCAACAGCGATGTAACAGAGCACCCCACTGACCAGCCAAATAATAAACACACTGAACATGGCTCCGAGCACCTCTAGATGTGAAAGGTTAAACAAAAAAATAGGAACAATAACAATTTATTTCCTAAAATAAGTATAAAATGAAAAGTTTTAGTATAAGTCAAAATAGGCCAAAGGAACTTTTTCCATGCACACACACACGCATATTAAAAACCCATTTCACGCTAGTGGTGACCTCCCTCGTATACACTCACATTAAAAATTGGAGTCACTTTCACCATCATGCCTTTGAAAATTGTGGAAAATCAAAAGGCAAGTTGAGTATTTACAAACACTGGTTTTTGAAAGGGCCCATCTGTCTAGTCTGAGAATGGAGATAGAGGCAGTCACAGTTACTTTCTGCTAGCTTGAAAACCAACTGCACACACATGCTGTGACTGTAATAGACTAATAAAGCCATGTTAAGACAGGTGGAGACAAGCATGCTCCATGCAGAGTGGCAAGTATGGCTTCAGAGGTTTCTGGCAGTTAGTGTCCTTTAGATATTTTCTCCAGGTGATGCAGGCGTGCTGGAAAGCAAACAGGCAAACAGACTAGCTGGTTCTGCACAATTTATGGTCAATTAATGCATAACAAGCTAGTGATTATGATCCTTTGGGAGAAAGTAAACAGTGTGGAAGCACAAACAGACTTTCACAGTCTGAAGAGAATAAAGCAGTGTGGAGAGAACAGGGGATGTGGTTGATTTCATCACTCCGAGAAAAGGCATCTTCATGACTCTACTTCCTTTGCCTACATCCCTTAGTAATGATCGCTTCAGAGGCCCCTGGTGGCTGGCATCCTTTGGGTATTTAATCAAAGTAATATCTATGCATTTGGGAAATGAACAGGCAGATAGACTGCCTGGTTCTCCATGATTTTGTAGTGAACTGATGCACGACAAGATAGATGTTTTAAGAGTTCTTTGGGGAGCGAATGACCGGTGCGGAGGCACAAATAGATCATCCCTGTGTGAGGAGAATGGTGCTGGGGAAGTTACCAGGGAATCAGGCCAACGCTCAAGGATAATCTATCAGACTGTTACTGGTGCCATCAAAATTGGGATTCTGCACTTGCTGCTGAAGATGGGGACGGAGTGCTTATGAAAACGCCTCAAGTGCTTTAATGTAAATTCTTAAATCAACACTCAACATTTATGAGCAAGGATGACTATGTCTCTTCATGTACCCATACTAAAAATGGGGTGAAACTTGAAGTACTAAAGATTACTAGCAAACAGAGAAAGCTGCACTGACCTGCTCTGTGATATCCAAAAGACATCCTGCGAGTGGCGGGTTTGTTGGCCAACCACATGGCCAACAGGCTGATGATAAAGCTGATCAGGTCACTGGCAAGGTGAAGGACATCCGTGAAAAGGGCAAGACTGTTGGCCAGAAATCCCCCTGCAGAACCGAGATGAAAATGCATTATGGGTAAGTGTTTCGGTTAGGTTCACTTTCATCTCCCCAAATAGAGTAGGTCACTTTTCATTTACAAGTTTGTTGGGTTAGTCGACCTGAAGGTTACAGGTGTCCGGCTCTGTTGTTAGCTTTCTGTGATGTCTTGCATTTACTTTTTCATTCTAAGAAAGAGAATGTCTGTGACGTAGGCTGCAGCACTCTCCTAGGGGGTTGTGTTAGGGCCAGTTTCTCCATGTTTTAGGAGTGTTAAAAATGCTAGCGTGTTGAAATATACAACATGCAATATCAACAGCATTGTGGAACACCCCCGTAACCTTGTGCCAAGGTGACAGGTTCAGGAACTACCAATCAGAAGTGAGCTAATGTGTACATGGGCTGGGAATGGGGAGATCAATGTTACTTTTACCAAGTGTTTCTGCTCTTACAGATAAAAAAAAAATTCATTCAACACATGACAGCCCCTCCAAGATCCTCCCACACTGAACTACATTGACTGAGTTTCTGTATTTTCAGATGATAGTGTAATATTGTGCAATGGGAGCGCACAGAAAACACAGGCCATGTTTGACGAGTGTGACTAGTGAAACATCCCTGCATGTTACACAGCAACACAACCTGTAAAGTTTTATAAAGACCATGTGTTCCCATAAATCCCAAGGTCTCTCCCTCAGTCTGCTTTGTTTATTGCAAAGGAAAGGTAACACCAATTCATATGGAACAAAGCTTCCCAAGTGGGTTCCAGGCCCCATTGTAAACAAGAATAGTCCCACAGCCTCCCCAACAAGCATGTCATAAGAGTCGATAAGCAGAGGTTCCTTCGAAGTCTGAGTGCATCTGCCTGAGAGGCAAGGAACCAACAATCTGCATACAGTTAAGTCAGATCTGTAAAACGGATGTGCATGCAACGCTTAGGTTCTGGAACAAGACTAAAGTCCAGAGCTGGACAAACAACCAGAACTTGCTGTGGGAGTTTACAGCCAGTGTATGTGAAGAAGAATGGAACAAAGCAGATTGCAAAAGCTGCTGACTATGATAATACTAGCTGTTGTTTGAACATATTGTTCTGTAGACAATTTGTTATAATTTCATCTAATTTCATTACAGACAGTTTAATTTTACTAACTTTTATACAATTTGTGAGCTGCCACGGTGTAGTAGCTACAAGGTTGCCGTCAGATCTGAAGGTTGTGAGTTCAAAATCGAATGAAGCTGCACTTTTAAACACACAAAAAATGAGCTTGACAGACAGGTCGACCCAGCCTTCAGTGGATACCAGGTGAAGTTCTGGAAAGTAAAGGCGGCAGAAGTGATGCTGACCACATCACTCACCAAGTGTCGACTGGTCTGTAAAATATAAGTCTAGCCCTATATGCCCAACAGACCTGAAAACGCGGAAAAGGGTCCTTTACTTTTACTTTACTACAAGATTTAATAACAAAATATTATTTGCATTCACTTATATTTGTTTCTCTCAGCCGAAATTTTTTCTTTGATTTCCCTGGTCCACAGATTTTAAAAGACGGAAGAACACTGCTGTACCTGATGTTATAAACCGACTGCAACATTTCCTGGTTGCCTAGGGTTTCAGCAGGCCACAGTTATATTCCGTACATAAAGAGACAACAGAACAAATGGTTCGGTCATGTGTCAAGACAACCACAAGACAGTGTATATAATATATGCAATCGTGCCGGCAGCTCACACCCACTAGTACACGACGCGCAATATAGATGACTCAAAAGATTGAACACAATGCAACATCACACCCCTGTAACTTAGACTAGAGCGTGTGAAAGGTCACGAATTATGAATGAACGGACAATCACCGTATGTTTGGGGCAAAAAAACAAGAACCCATTTTTGAAATTAATATAAAGCAGTCTGCTGCCATATCGCCTGCAACAGAACCGACCCCGGCATGTAAAAATTATGAAACTGCGTTGACAACCAACCCCCTAAGGCACAGACATGGTATACAATGACTTAAAATAACTAGAGGCAGATGATTAATAGCTCACAGCTAAGCGTCCACTCAGCCCTGAGACAGGCATGCATGTTTAAATTTCCTGTACGTACAAGACTGTCACATAAATAATCTGTAGAAACAATATATCTCCGTCTGTCCGCACATCCGTTTTAAAGTCCCCCCCCCCCCCTTTTAGATTTACATTCAGCAGGGTTAACAATTTGAGATCATGCATCTTTCCCGAGGAAAAAACTAATGGATGTGAGTCATGGACTATCACTCAGTCTCAGAAGAAGAAAATCTGAGCTTTTAAAATTAAATGCTACAGAAAGGTTCTCAGAATACAGTAGACCAAGAAGAAGAAGAAACGTCGATATCCTTCAGGCCTGAACATCAAGGAGAACTGGCTCGTTAACAGCATCCTCTCCTGAAAGCTGATGTATTCTGGAGACGTCAAGCGTCATGGTGGTCTGGAGAGAACGGCGACGAAGGGGGCAGTTTCCGGAAACAGGGGCAGAGGCCGAACTTCACGAAGGTGGATACCCGACCTTGAAGATGCACTGGATATGAAAGCACACAGGGCTGGAGATCTGGCTTGAGACAGTGAGACTTTCAATCGTGCTGGGCAGAGAGCGACGTTCTGTAAAGGACGTGCTAATTGAGGGTGATGACAGTTAACTACACAAGGATGAGAATCCGACAGCGAAATATTCCGGAAACTCCGTTCAATCGAACAGCCATATGGCACAGTTATATTGGGGCACCAGAAAACAGTTACGTAGTAATAATAATACGAACTCCACAGGGCAGCATGTACAGCAGGAGTCCACCGATCATCAGTAGAAGATATCTCGTCGACAATTGTTCCGGCCTTAAACCTTCTAGACAACTTCAGAGGGTGGACCGACCTGGGTCATGACACCCAGGACTCGATCTTCTCCTGCTGCACTTTACCGGATGTTCTTGGAGAGCGACAAGACGAAATGGTGACTATGCAACGGGTACTGTGAGATTCCAAGTCACACACAAATACACACATATATATATATATATATATTGTCGCTGCGGTAGCCCATTAGACCAGCTGGCTATCTTAACGACCAAGTGACAAGCTTACGGTTGGTTCATCAGACACATGTTAAACTTTTGCAACTGGCAGAGGGACACTGGCAGAAATCAATCGGACACACTGGCTTTTAAGGGATAAGAAGCTCCGTTCCTCCAGGGACTCGGACCAGTCTACCGAGGCCCATCCCCTACGACATTCCGTTGCGTCCAGAGCCAGCTCGACGCTCTTACAGCAGCTTCGTCCAGTTGTTTTAGTGACCGTTTACGTTCGTCTGCTCGCAAGCCTAGCTGCTTTAACACATTGTACATGGAAGTGGAGATAAGATCTCTTGCGCCTACCTCGATGGCGAAGATTTTTACTGAGTATGGTCGTCTCTCCTCAGACCGGCTGCGAGCTCACAGTACTTCTCAAGCTTGTACATGTGATTTTCGTTTTTTCGGGACTTATACTCGGGTCTGTTTAATCAGAATAAGCTGGCGTTTTTTCCGTAGAGTGTAGGACTATGTCGGGTCTCATGCCGGTCTTCCAGATTAACTGGGTACGCCCGGCTCTCTAGCAAAGTTGGCTTAACCGGATTGCGCGGTGACCGGGTGACGAACTTCTTGTGGTCCGGGTTCACTCCCGGGGGTAGGCAGAAAAGCCACATTTCTCCCAGATTAACGGTATTTACAATGAAATCAAGGCCGAAAGGTTGCAATATCCATAATACCGAGCCTAAGGGTTAACAACTCATGGCTTCTGGATACTAAAACAAACAAACAAACAACTCTGGGTACCTCTCGAAGCCAGGCAGGCTGACAGCCAGTAACCAGTCCCTCGCACAGTCAATTATTGTTGGAGCGTATGCGACCTTTTTGAATTTACCTTTACACATCTGCCCAGTATTAAGGAAGCGCATTGGGGGTGACGGTAGGACTAGTCCTTTTAGTCCGGCGGCAGTGATACTGTACATGACCTACTTTTAATCTAAAGTAGGTCATGCCCAGTGTCAGTGACATTGTACATTACTTAATTTAGATCTAAAGTAGGTTATGGACTGTACGTATTCGGTTATTTAAAGTGGGGTATTGTACGTCTCTTCCCCTTGCCATTTACAGATGAGAATGCCCTTGGCTGGTTCATCCTGACCCCATACAGCACTGCAGGTCACACCTGGCTGGTGGTGGAGCGGCACGGGTGCCCTAAATTATAGTCACTGCAGGTCACATCTGGCTGGTGGTGGAGCGGCACGGGTGCCCTAAATTATAGTCACTGCAGGTCCACCTTTGGTGGTGGAGACGGGTGAAATTAATGCCCTTGGCTCACACCTGGTGGTATGGTGGATCGGCACCCCTAAATATAGCACTGCAGGTCACACCTGGCTGGTGGTGGAGCGGCACGGGTGCCCTAAATTATAGTCACTGCAGGTTGAACGGCGTATCCGGGATCTGCCGTTGGGACTGATACGTTTTGAAATCTCCGGATGACACGGTAAACCTTTGGGTATCAGCCAGAATGGGACAAACTCATCGCAAGACTGGGTGGTTGACAGCAATAGAAGAGAAGAAGAAGAGGATTTCGCGGTGCTCTCGTGCATCATTATGTTTTCTTTTGTATCTCTTCTTATTATTGATGCTTTATTCTTTTCTTTCGTTCAACCCCATCTCGATGCCTCAGAGATTTCGTGGCGAATTCTGATTGTATATCCGTCTCGCCTTTCCCTTGAGTGCTGAGCGTCGTCAAGACCCCCTGGCAACTCCTCGCAGCGCCATTCTCCTCAGACCGTAATGACCTATTTGCGCTTCCGGACTGTTCACTCGTTCCTAGAGGTCTCGTGTGTGAAATATAAGAAAAGAAACGCTTTTCCCCTTATTTCGTTCTTCTTTCTCTTAGTATATAGTCTTCACAGTGGAGTTGGGCTGCAGTGTACATCGATTGCTGTCTTTGAGAATATTACGTGATGAGACC